TCTCAGTGTTCGGAGCATAATAGTTTGGATAATCCAATCCTGATGAGATTGATATATAAAAATTACCATATTTTGTTATTTTGAGTAATTGCTTCTCGATATAATTCACAACTTTAGAAGCATCAGCCCAATTTCTATTTGCATTAGATCTATGTCCAAGAATAAAAGGTGGTCTAAGATGGAAATATTGATTTTAATAACTCTAAAAATGAGAGAACAAATTACTAACATCTTTTCTAATCTTGCACCAACAGGATAGAGATTAGTAACTCTACCTGATTCATGATTAAGGAATGCCCTCATATGATTTAAAAAGGATTCGCCTATTGTTAAATATTAGCAATACCAACTCTTAATCTCTTAGCAAATGCTTCATATTCATATTCAGTCAAATCAGGTCTTAATGTACTAAAAGAGGATTTGTAATATTTGAAATGCTATTCAGTTGTCATCTATCTTGCATTGATGGCTATTCCTCTTTCTGGATCAATGTATACTTCATCTGTGTCTGTTCCTCTTTGATTTCTCAATTAATTCATTATTATATAAATAATAATATATTCACAATATATTGAATACTATAATTGAGACTAAGGATTACTTCAAAGGGGAATTAAAGTAATACCCAGGTTCTATTGAAGAAGAAGATTTGAGTGGATATATAATATTATAGAACTTGTATTGGAATCTAAAATTAAGAATTAAAATTCTTATCGAGAATATATCAAAATTTATTGTCTTAATGACTATTCCTTTAATAAATTAAGGATATGAAATTTAATCAAGAAATTTTTTGTAATTTAATGAAGGAATCAATTTCTAGAATAAGAAGAAATTATTACCCATTCTGCATTGAGGACAGAGATTGTAATCAGGAGCATGTTGTTATCTTTCTGCTGGTTCATGTCTTAATTGTTCTTTTTTATCCATTATTTATTTAGCACAATTGCCACATAAACACATGTGTCTACAGGGCATGATAATCGTATTGATTTTTTCACTTAAACAAATAATGCACTCTCCATCATCCTAATCGTGCTTCATCGACCCAATCAGATTAGAATCATTAATTCCGTAAATTTCTTCAACCTCGAATGCTCCATAATCAGAATTCTAAAACTTTTATTTGACTAATTTTAATTGATCATTTTCATAATCGTAATAGTATGCCATCATTGTTGTCTTGTTTTAAATCATTAGTAAAAGCTTCTAATAAGCTTAGCCATTAATTGATTTTTTCTATTATAAAGAACTCTTAGGTATCGTTATTTTACTAGTTTTTACAACATTCATAGTTTAAGGTTCATTAATTAAAAATTCATCATATTATAGCTTATCTCTTATCTCTTGAAGAATTTTATTCACAGGATGACAAATCTCTAAGCATTATACATATAACTAAATTATTTTGGAGAGATACTTAAATTTTGCAAGGACTTAATGCAAACAAAGTGAATTCAACTTTGAAATTTTCATTTCCAACAAGTTTCAGCTTTTCTATACAAAAATCATTTTTGATAACTCGAGGTTAAGTATTTATATTTTGTGATCTCTATAATATGAATAATTTGCGATTACTTGTGAGGATGGGGGTTATTATTGTATCATTGATTGGTTATATATGAATGTTGAGAAATGATTGTATTAGAATGTTTAAGAATATTGCATCGGCATATTGATTTATTAACTAGGCTAACGATATTACATTTGAATATGCTATGGCATTTAGCTTGTCTGCATACTTGGCTGTTGGTACCTATTTTCAATTTAATTTCTAGACTTCTAAGGTTAGGAACCCATATACTAATTGATTTTAAATAATATTTATATATTATATATAATTTTAATAGTTGATTAACTAATTATAAGTTTTTGAGTGATAAAACTCTATTGTTATGTTAATTTTTCTAATTTGGTTCTTTAAAATTAGTAATATTTTTACAAACACAATATATATTATGTTTTGGATGTTATTTACTTTTCGTTTCTATATAAAATTATACAATTAAAGATGACTTATAAATAATTTGTGGACTTTGATTCCATTTTCAATTTCTTTGTTACTTGATTATAAAGTTATAAGTTATATAAAACTCAAGCATCAAATAGTAGTTCAGAACACTGAAACATAGGAATATATTAAGATTGATATAAGCACATTTTAAAATTAAATAAAATCTTTTTTTATTTAAGCAAGCATAAATTATGGGAATTTCAAGAGATAGCAGACACAAAAGAAGACTTACAGGAGGTCGTATGCCAATCCATAAGAAGAAAAGAGCTTTTGAGAAAGGAAGATAAGCTGCAATGACTAAATTAGTATCAGGAGAAAAGAGAGTTAGAAGATTAAGAGTGAGAGGAGGAAATTTCAAATTCAGAGCACTCCGTTTATCAGAAGGCAATTTCTCTTGGGGAAGCCAAGGTGTTGCTAAAAAAGCTAAAATTGTTGAGGTGGTTTATCATCCATCCAATAATGAATTGGTCAGAACCAAAACTTTGACCAGAGGTGTCATTGTCTAAGTTGATGCTACTCCATTCAAATAATGGTATGCCAAGAAATACAACGTTGAATTGGGATCAAAGAAGAAGAAGGTAATTGATCATCATAATCATAGGAAACAACTGGAGAATAACCTAAGAAATTAAGTTCAAAGCAAGAGAAAAGAGCTAAGGAAAATGTTATTGATCAATTCGTCTAAGAATAATTTGCCAATCAAAGATTGTTAGTCAGAATTACATCAAGACCAGGATAATCAGGAAGAGCCGATGGCTATATCTTGGAAGGAAAGGAATTAGAATTTTACATTAAGAAAATCGAATAAAAGAAGAAGTGATTTCATCATCAATACATTAAATTGCATAATAATAGTACATCCTAGAAAATATA